ACTGTTAATTGTCCCGCAACATCAAAAGCAGCTAATTTAGAGTGACCATTATTTGTGAAAAGAATATTTTGTGCTTTAATTTCTCGATGAATTTTACTACATAAATGTAAATATTCGAATCCTTTAAGTCTATATTTTAATATAACAACTATTTCTTGCTAATTTAACTACGTAAATTAATAAAAACTATTAAAAAAAAAATACGAAATTAATTCGATTTTTATTTTCTATCTTGTTTTATTGCTAAAAAAAATATCTTATTTCTCGATATTTTGTTTTATATGCAGATCCATATGATCTATATTATTAAAATAAAAAATATCGAATGAATATTTTATTGTTTAGTTAATTACCCTTTTTCTATTTTGCATACAATTTCCAAAATATTTTCATCTGTTAAACGTTCCAATATTTTAGTCATATTTAATTATCCAAAAAATACAAAAATATAATTTATCCTCTATTATTTTTTTAATAATTCTCTAGCTTTATTTTTAATATCAAGATCACGTTGATTAACAAATTTTGTATCAAAAGTACCATCGTGTAATAATAAAAAATAGATATAATCATTTTTCATAAAATTTTCATTAGGTAATTCTTCTAAATATCGAATATTTTTTCTTATATATGTCACAAATGTAACAAGACGTTCAAGTGGAGTTGGTTGAAAATGATAAAAAAAATGTTTCCATATGGCAGCAGCTAATACAGTATCATCATCAACAAGATTTTCATCTAATACAAATATAAATGTATTCATTTCAGAATATAATTCTTCTGATTGATTACAATGAGTTTTACTTTGACTTGAAAGAATTTGTTGAGCATGTAAATCAAGATCTATTCACATTGTACGTGCTAATTGATGACGAAGAAATACATCAGTTGGATCTATAAAAATAAATTTTAATAATTGAAAAACGTCAATTTTATTGATATCAATTGAATGAATTAATAAGCCAAGAATCAACTTTTGATAAATTCCTATTAACGAGATTTGTATTTGATTGCATAATGTAGTTATTCTACTTTCTTTTGAGATTCCACAAAAATCTGGAAAAATCTCACCTAACTGAATATAACGAACAAGTAAAAAAACCAAACATGTAGAAAGATAATTCTTCCAAATGATGCAAAAACATCTGCCATATCAAGTTTATATTGTATTTTATAAAAATCAACTAATGAATCAATCATATAATATGATACTGCTTGACACAAAACTTTTTATCGTTCACGTAATTTTCCTTGTAAATCAAGTTTTATTTTAATTTTTGGCACTAAACTTGGTACATAAATTTGTGGAAGATTATTTAGTGCTTATACAGTACTTAAGACTGTACTAACAGGTACAGCAATTTTCCATTTAGTTTAGATGATGATAATCACAAATCAAAATGCGTATATCTCTGAATAATAAACTTTCCTAGAGCTAGTTTTCAGATGTCACATGGATGCTGAGTTACTCTAGATACATTGAAAAAATCAGTCCTATAGATCGTTATTCAGAGTAGTTATAAGTCAAAAAAAAAATAGCGTTACAGACATTAGGCCAAAGAGAACATAGGTTTTCATTGCATGCATTTCAGTTTCAAAAACCTACGCATTGAGGCAGAATTTTTACAAACTAAACGGTAAATTCTGTAGACGACTCTTAGAACTACAGAATCTCTATCCAAACTTTTTCCTGAGCATGTTTAGACTTTTCAAAAACAATTCGATTTACTTTTTGTTAGGGACGTGACGAAGTACGAATCTGTATATGAAAAAATGTTCTTATAACTGAACGAAAAGTTCAAAATAAATTCACACCTGAACAAATTCTTCTTCACACTTTTCAGATGATGGTAAGATAGAAATTTTTGTCTTGAAATTTGATGAGATCTCTAGAAAATCGGTTTTGTAAGAGGAGAAATTTCCGAGTCTTATCTTACTGAAAATTTCATCATAGATGTAGTTCATCATGTACATTCTATCCCGAAATTTTTGAATTTTTTCTCATATTCTTAAAGAGATATTTATTAATTATTTCTTTATTAACTATCAGCTGAAAGCATCAATATTCTTGCATGTCTATACTAATAGATTTTATTCAGACAAAAAAAATACTCTGATAAAGAATCAAAGTCAAATAAGCTCATATAGTTTATTTGATTACAAAAAGCAAATATTAACATCTATAAAATTCATATTATATTATTTTTCTAATGCTGACAAAAAAATTATTCATTATATGTAAACAATTGAAGTGAATAGTGCATATTACATATATGAGATTGCAAAAAGAAAAGCATAAAAAAAAAGATATTATATTTCTGAAAAAGACCATCGTTTTGAATTAGTATTATTGATTTTATTTATTGATAAATTGGATAGATCAGTTAGTAATTTTTTACATATTGATGGAATATTATATTATCATATTATTTCCATAAAATAAAAATTTTTTAAAATAAATAAAACAAATTTATTTGAAAATCTTTTAATTATTTCATCGTTTTCATCAATTTGTTTACGTAATAATTGTATATATAACATGCTTTCATTGCATTTATTTCAAATGTTTTTATTGATAGACTTTTATTTTTTTCTATTAATTGTTTTTCTAAATAGTTTTTATTTATTTAAATAAAATAAAATTTTTATATTTATCAGTTATATCTAATCGTTTTTGTAACTCATCAATTTGATCTTTTGTTCGTGTATTTTGTATCTTTAAGTGTTGTTTATAATTCAAAATTTTTTTATTTCACATTCTAAAAAGAAACAGATTTTTATGAAATAGAATAATAAATAAATATTTTATTTATCAAAGATCCTGTGTTAATTGATTATTATTATCTTCTATTCAATGTGATTGTAATATTTTATTCGTTTATGTTGTAAACAAATAAAATGTTCTCTAAAAGATATATATTATAAGAGTAAATATGATTATGTAGAATAGCATTGAAAATAAGATCTATAGGTGGATAACATATGTAAAAAAATAATACTTAATTATTATTATGATCATATAAAGCTCTTTACCAGAATTTGATTGATATCAACAAATATTTGTAAATATTCAAATTGAATTATTTCATTTAATCTCGATAAATTATTCTATGGTATTAAACCAAGATTATTTTCAAGTAATGAATTAACATCAAGTTTAAGTAAATGACAAATACATCTAAATTAGAAAAGATTATAATTCATGTTTAATTAATTCGAAAGATTTTACTTAATCTGACCATTAGATTTCAGATAGATGAAGACATGTATTTCTATCAATCATTTGATTACTTGGATTAGATCCAAGTTTAAGAAACTTCAGTAATCAATCTAACATCTGTGTCTTCATTTTCATTAACTCTAAAAAGAATTGAATCGAAATGTGAAGATGGTGATGATGATAGAGAATTTAAATCGCTTCTGTCTGTGTAGAATTGATAAATTGGCAACGTCTATTGGAGATATAACACGATTTTTAGCAACTAAAAATAAATAAATAGAAATAAAACATAAAAAAGTTTAATCAAGAAGATATAGTTAACATTATTAGTATATATATATATTAGAAGCGCAAGAAGAATCTCAGTGATAAATATTCGCACAAATACAAAAGGCATTCGAGGTAACTATTTTTCGATCTTGAACGCGTCCAAAATGCAACAATTTCAAGCATGTGAACGCACTCAAAAACTGAAACACGTACAAACTCGTCTATCTCGCAGACGAATTACGACGTGTTTTCAGATTTTGCTGCATTTGGATGCAGTAAGAGATGAACGCATCGTGACGCATTTATTTTTTGTCCCTCAAAAAATTCAAAAATAACCATCGTTCTGTGTCGGAATCGAACCGACGCATCATAGCCAGTTATGGTATAACACTCAAATCCTATGAGCAACAGAATGATAATTTTTTCAATCACAGTTTGAACGAAGATTTCAATACAAGATCAGTCGATCACGAACCGAATACAACCAGCTCTGAGCTAAAGACAGCTCGAACTCGTTTCTATGTTCATTAATCGCATCATTAGTTCATATAACATTGCTTGTTACAACTTTGTGAATAGAGCTGTTAGATTTTTACTTCGTGAAATAAATATAAATAATATATTTATCGAAAAAAATTAAGATAAATATATTCTTGATATTTAGAAAAAAATTCAAATTAAGAAATAAATTTTTTTGTATCAAAAAAATAAAAATTGCAGAATAAAAAATCTCGATTTATGATGAATAAATATATAAATATGTGGTATAAAGGCATTAATTTACATTTTTTTCTTACTATTAGCATCTCAATATCCAATGTTAATAAAAAGTGAAGACACTAGAAGAAAAAATATATGCAAATATTCTTGTCTATGTAATTTTTTGTGATTATGATATCAAAATTCTTTTAGGTATCTGGAGGAAAGTAAAATATTAGATTTTTATTTAGAAATAAACCGTCATTTTCATTTAACTTTCTTTAGTCTTATGAATAAAATATTCATTTATCTTTTTCTTAAAAGCATAAAATGTAACAAAAAACTATTTGTCTTTATGTTTATAAGTAATAAAATTTCGTAATGTATTTATCTTTATTGCATGAATCTAAAAGTTTCGTTTCAAGTCATTTTATTATAGAGCACAATAAAGATAAGCCAACAACTCTATTTGAAAAAGCACTAGTGAAATTCCAATAAAATGAAATAGTTGCAATAAAAGTATCATATTCAAAGGATTTATTTGTTTGCCTAGGAAATAAATGATGAAGTGGGCAATAACTTTAAGATTATAATCTACCGTCTACTCATACTTAAGTATTTTAGAAGTAACGTAGAGCGAGACATATAATTTCAATAAAAATTAAATATTTTCAATAAAATATCTACAGATAGCAATCTATTATCATAGACGCACTAATTTATATGATTAATCTGTTCAATCAAACCCAATCTAATTATATTTTAATGATAGTGATGTAGTCTGAATGCTAAACTCTGGTTTGGTTCTGACGCAAGGTGATGACTATTTTCTGACTTTTTTAAGAATAAAGTAAACGCGTTTGTCTCATGATAGTATAATAAGTAGAAAAGCCAGAAAACGTGTATTAGTGTGTTTTCAACAGAGACGAGTTTACACGTGTTTTGGTTTTCGAACGTGTTCACACGCCTTAAAATGTTGCATGTTGGACGCATTCAAGCAGCATCTTTTGATATAAACAAGTTAGGATGCTGTAGAACTGAAATGTAGGAAGTTACGTTTATTCATTTCAAACGCGTTCAGAGTTCCGAAAATGTTGCATTTTGGATGTGTTCAAACGTGTCAAGTTGCATAGCTTGTAGACATTCAGGGACACTTTAGGAGTTCAAGCATGGATACATGAGTGATAAAAAGAATATCATTGAGTTATTCTAATTTCAATAAAAATAGATAGGTTTTCGTTCGTATAGCATCTATTCATCAGGTCCTTATTGAAAACTTAGATCGGTTTGTATGAATTCTTAAGCACTGCACGCAGAAATAATGAAAACAAGATAATAATTATCGATTGAAAACTTAAAGAGATATTTGTGAAAAATTATCCTGCTTAAAATATGCATCATAAAGAACAATTTATAGAAATATTCTTCGGCTTCTTATTCTTGTTCAAATGAGTTAAGAGAAGCTAATATGTTTAACCAAATGAATTAGAAAAGTCAACTTTTTCTTTCAGTTACTAAAAACTAAATCTAATATAATTACACAATAAAATTTCTTTCAATCACAATATTAAAGTATTTATCCTCATCAACTAAACTGTATGACTATATGTTCAACTGCACTCCAGAAAGCAGTGGATCCAAACACCTTTTCGCAAATTTGACAGATTGACGGAAGCATTCTATGAAACGCGTTTCATAATAAAAGGTTAAATACGTTTTTATGCATTTAGTCTAAAAATATGCTCCGAAACTATGAATTTTCTCTAAACACATTCGTGAAACACAGTGATTGATGCATTTTCGTCATGCTTCAATATAAAAGCGCGTTAGAACGCCGAAGATTTGCAACATTAACGTGTCTAGCTGCATCTAAAATGCGTTTCATGGTTACATGGGTAGATGGACGGAAGAGTTCGTAGATCATCAATTTTATGTTCTGACGAAAAGTTTATTTACAAGATTGAGAGAAAAGAATACAGAACTATAAGAGTAATCCTTTTTTATCTCGAAATAAATAGTAAAAGAAAAAATAAGAAGCCATGCATTGAATTATTTAACTATCGTTTCTTTTCTTTATTAGATAAGTAAAAAACTTCATTGATTTACATGGTCAGGTCACTTTGCTAGACCAGTTGTTGTTGTTATAACAATTTGATATGAAGTTTTGTTAAACGTGAGATATCACCAACACTACATATAACATTATTTCTTGTTGTTGAAGAACCGATCGAATAGATGATATTGATGTTTCACTATTTCTTAGTGATGAATGAAGATTTGACGTGATTGGAGATTAAAAAACATTTGATATTGACTGAGTAGGTATAACATTACGTTTATCAACAATAGGTACCAGTAATAAAGGTAATTCAAGAATAGATGATGTTTATTGTGTACATGTTAGAATTGATGGAGGAACAATTCCTATTTTTGTTATTACATCATGAGCATTTTTTGATGATGATGTTAAAATCATAGTTGAATGGTGAATAACACCTGTTGTTAATATAGATGATTTTTCAGAATTAGATGATAGTGGTGAGGATTCATTTGCTAGAAGTGGTGCTTGAGAAACTGTTCATGATAATTAACGTGATTTAGAGTGAAATTTAGAAATTGTTTCAATCACTTCTCCATCTGATGATGACATATCTAAATATTAATATCAGTATGATATATGGAAAAAAGGGACAATGTCTAAATAATTACTATTCGTTGTTGTTTGTTTTCTTTAACTAGCAAATCAATTTTACATTGTAATTGTTTAATACGTGCTGTTAAGACCTGTTTATTACGTTCATATTCTAATGCTAATTCTTGAAATTTCGCTTGGCGTCGTTTATCATCACTAAAATAGAATTTTTTTAAAAATTAATTTAAAAGAAAATCTTTTTTTTACTTGATATGAGGATTTGGTAATTGTTTTAATTGTTCTTTATGATATTCATGTTCAAGTTCATGCTCATTTAAAAGAAGAATAGCAAATTGTTTTTGTCATTCATATTCATTACATGATTTAATTGTTGTTCTAATTCTTGATTATATAATTCATAGAAGTCGAAGTTATCATTATTTATTTATTTTTATCCACCTCTTGGCATACATCTGGAACAAATCAACGAAAAATTTCAAATTTGATCTTTAAAAAGAACTAATTTACTTTAATTAATTATGTATTCATTTACTATCAAATCAACTTTTCTGTTCCGTTACCGATTTGAAAAAATTAATTAGATAAATTGTGCCACGCGGTTCTTGATGAGCGAGAACTTAGCATGTAAAACCATTCAAACATAGAACAGCTTCAATAATACCTGCTACAAATGAAGCACAATTTACATTTCCCTAAAAAAAACAAAGAAAATTTCTATCATTCTTTTGGGGTTGGGTGGGTGTAAGTGTGAATGTGGATCTGGCCGTGGGCGAGCGGGTGAGTATGTGCGTGAAGAGAAAACTCACATCCACTGACACCCATACACAAGCTGTAGCTGTCTTAGATTTTTATGATTGGCTTTTGCAGAGCTACTGAGTATTTTATGAGACTTCAAAGGACTCCGACGGACTTCAAGAGAATCCAAAGGATTGGAGTCTGCCGTTTTTCCCTTGAAAAAAATTGATCTTTTGCAACACAATCTTGGCAAATAGACGACGGTGTCTATATCGTATCTTGAGGTTCGTCAAACATTTATGACGAAGTACATAATATGAATATAGTCAAACAAAAGAAGCGATATTTTATTGGCAAACAGAGAGTACAAGAGAGTCTTATCGCAAGTAGTCAATATAACCAAGTCAATATTAAAATTTTTTTTTTCTCCCACAGTATCTTGTTATCGTGAATGTAGGGTTTGCTTTCGAAAGAAGATCCAATCTTATGTAAGGGTGTGGATCTTCTCGTCATCCAAACCTACACCAGCTCACATTCATGTCAGTATTAGATCTGCAAAAAAATGCTACTATAAAGAACCTGTTCAGTGTGCACTATGAGTGGGTACGGATGTGTGGGTGTAGATTTGGGTGTGGAGTGTGGGTGTGTAGATCTAGAGTATAGGTGTCAGTATGGGTGTGGATGTGGGTGTAGGCTGTCAATGACAGTAAGATGAAACCGATATAAGTAAATGAACGACTTAATATTGAAATATAAAACTTTTTTTATTTTAACATCAGCAAAAATGTTTTCTAATTGACAATATCAGCTAAGAAAGACTATCGAAAATGACAGAATTTACTTTTGCAGAAAAACTGCAAAGGTAAATTCTATATAGACTATCTTTATGATGGAACCAACTGATATTGTGTAATTACGTTGAGACTATTACATAGTGACACATACAACACGACCATTGAATGTTTTTTGTTCTTCGTATAGTACAAGTAAGGTTCATCGACATTGAAAGTCGATTCACTGGGCCCTAGACTGACGGAATGATGTCACAGGTGTCCTTATGTTGTTTAATAAAAATGAATTCTGTTCAATGATGAGTTTAGGACAGATCATTGATATTTGCAAAATGTTGTGTATTACATACTAAAGATATATTCAAACAGTTGACATAAAATATTGCAAGATGCCAATGTATGTGATAAAGCGTATGAGTTAGTTGATTCTAAGGACTAGCAATGGTTATTTATCCCATAGCACTGATCATTTCTAATACTGATCTAGCTAGGAGTGACACAGACACGCTTTTTCCGCAGATAAGAATGATCAACTGTGCCATACAAATGGTTGATTGCATCGTAGAAACTGAGTTAAGCCACAAGAATGGTCAATTATGCCAAAATAAATGGTCAGTTTTACCACCACTCACGATACTTTGCACTATAGCAACAGTCACTTGTACCACGATTATGGTACTTTGAACTATCACAACGATCACTTTCACCGTAAAAATGGTCATTTGTAGCACGACCCATGGTGCTTTGTACCATGACAACGGTCAATTCTACCATGAAAATGATACTTTGCACTATCACAATCGTCACTTGTACCACGACTTTGGTATTTTCTGCCATCAATATTCTTACTTGTACGACGACTCTGGTACTTTGTACCATGACAACAGCAACGTCTACCGCGACTATTGGTACTTTCTACCATGACAATGGTCACTTGTACCACGACTATGGTATTTTTTACCTTGACAACGTCACTTGTACCACGATTATGGCACTTTGTATCACAAGAATGCTCATTTGTACCACGAATATGGCCATTTGTGCCATAAAAATGGTCATTTGTGCCACAAAAATTGTCATTTGTGCCATAAAAATGGTCATTTATGCCACAGAAATGGTCATTTGTACCGTAGAAATGGTCATTTGTGCCATAGAAATGGTCATTTGTGCCATAAAAATGACCATTTGTGCCATAGAAATGGTCATTTGTGCCAAGTTCTTGTTACAGACAAACAGACGGACATACAGACACACGTGAATTACGGTTTCTAGACCCTAGCCTTTCAGTCTAGGGAATACATATAGACTGTTTATAACTAGCAAACTATTGTTTTTACTATACGATGACATCATTATACATTCTTTTTCTTTTTATCTTCGATCTAAACGAGATAGATTGAAAATAACTTGCAAATGTGAGTTGTGTCATTTTCGATAGTCTTTCTTAGCTGATATTGTCAATTAGAAAACATTTTCGCTGATGTTAAAATAAAAAAAGTTTTATATTTCAATATTAAGTCGTTCATTTACTTATATATATTATATTTCAAAAAAAAAACTTCTTGAATATAAACCATATCATCGTGTTGACTTTTATTATTATAAATGAAAATCATTGCATTCAACAAAAAATAAGTATGTTTACTTTTTAATTTATGTAAATAATAATGTTTCCTATATTGTTTTAAACTATTAGATAATTTATATTGATTCATTCAATAATCTTTGACTTACGATATATCAACTGAATAATGATAATGATCTAACAAAACCATCATACTGTGTTTATGTACAATATCGAATTATTAATACATAAAAATTAGTATATGTTTATATTTTCTCATTTCAGTCATGTGTGTGTGTATATTTTTTGAATTCTATTTCTACTCATTGTATGTTTGATAGGCACATTTTTTGATTGTTTTCTTGTTGTACTGTTATAACATTTAGTTGTATGTGATAAATTCTATTAAACTATAATACACATAACAAGAACAAACATTTTTGAATTCTATAAATATTTTATTCTATATAATATTAGAAATAATGAAAAAAAATCATGTTTTTATTCATATCTCTTCACATAAATAAAATACATTCGTTATTAGTGGAAATCTATTAGCATTATATCTATAGGATATCACACCTACGTGTGATATTATTTCGTTGCTCATTCTTACTACCTACTTACAATGATGATGTTGGAAAAAACCTTCACAACAATGCAAGTAACATTGATCGATTTTATTAAACGAGTTTATTGTCGTCTGTCCTTCTGCTTCTTCCTCGACTTGTTGAGATATCGATGCAAACTTCAAAAGATAACAAAACATAATGACTTGAGCAAAACAACCAATTCAACAAAAAAAGAGAATGATCTCTATCGAAAAACTAAAGAGACTTCTGTTGTATCTTCAGAAAAAAAAATGTTTTAAACATTTTTACATTAATTAAAAAAGGAATTTGCTTTCTTTTTTGCTTTCACACTGTATTATGATTAAAATAAATACTTTGCTAGAAAAAAGGTCACAATAGAAAAGAGTAGCTTCGTTTTTTCTTTTTTATTTTGATTTGTCTTTTGGTAAGAGGCCTATTTTGTTGATTCTAAGTATCTTGCACATAGAAACATCGACAAAGATAAAAGAATTTTCTAATGATGCCAGATAAAAGCAAACGAAAAATAAAAAACAACGAAAACAAACAATTTATGAAGCAATTCATTTTGAGATTCTATTCATAATCTTTCGTTTTTTTCTCTTCTACGAATGACGATCGATCAGTAGTCTAATTATTCATTTTTTTTGGACGGATTCTTCGTTTTCATGCCAGATGCACAGAGATTTTGTTCGTCACATCTTTTGTCATTATCGTTTCGTCAATAACAAAACTCTTGAAATAAAAAACAAAAACGAACGAACAAAAGATTAAGATAAGAAATTCTTCAAGTCTTCTATAGTAATAACAATAATAAACCAAAAAATAAAAAGTGTCAACACAAAAGAAGAAAAAAACTAAAATAAAAAATATCTAGAGAGAGAGAGAGATTAATTCTGTTTTTGTCCATTCATTCTTTTCATTACCATCCAACAAGTATTTAGATTTTTATTTATTCATTCGTTTACGAAAAACAGAACACCATTATTATTATTATCAACATCATCCAAATGGACAAAAAGCAACATTCAAAATCAACTGCTAGTGGATCTTCTTCAACCTCCACAACAAACAAACCAAAGAAAACATCATCATCATCAACAGCAGCATCAGTGTCATCGATGGGCAGAAGTGCTGCGCTTCCTCAACCTACTCGTCGAATTATTCAAAATTTTCTTCTCGTCTGGCTCGATGCCAATGTTGACGAGTCAAAAGAAGATTTTCAAACTTCGTTAAAACATTTACGACGAGTTTTAGCATCCATTACAACATTCACCGATGCTCAACAATGTTTTGATTATCTTAGTGGTATTACAAAGGAAAAGGCATTTATGATCGTATCGGGTTCACTTGGACAGAAAATAGTACCAGAAATGGAAGCCATGCCACAATTAGAATCCGTGTATGTTTTTTGTGGTAATCAATCTTATCATGAACAATGGGCCAATAAAGTATCGAAGATCAAAGGCGTATATACAAAAATCGAACCAATTTGTAAAGCCCTAGAAATTGATCGACAACGATGTGATCAAGCTATGATCTCGATCAGTTTCAATGGTCTTGATGCATTATTTATGTACACACAACTTTTGAAAGAAGCAGTCTTAGAAATCGAAGATGATGATAGAAAATCCATCAAAGATCTTGTTACATACTGTCGTGAACAAGAAGATATATCTGAAGATCAAATTAAACTAATCGAACGTGAATATCGTGATCATACACCGATTTGGTGGTATACGGCTCCTTACTTCATGTACTCAATGCTTAATCGTGGTCTTCGACAAATGGATGTCGACATTATTCTTAAAATGGACTTCTTCATCCGCCATCTACATCAACATATTACAGAGTTACATCATGAACAGCAAAACAGCAAAGCAGCCATGCCATCAAAATTTCAAGTTTTTCGTGGTCAAGGCTTATCTATGGAAGCCTTTGAAAAAATGAAGAAAACCAAAGGTGGACTTATGTCCTTTAATAATTTCTTATCGACAAGTCGTAATCGTGATATTTCCTTCAAAAACTTTGCACGACCTGCAGCATTCGATGCGAATTCAGTTGGCATCCTTTTCATTATGAGCATCGATATGGCCATTTGCACAGCTTCATCCACACCTTTCGTCAACGTCAAAGATATTGGCTTCTTCGACGATAAAGAAGAAGAAATTCTTTTTTCGACACATACAATTTTTCGCATCGATCGTATAGAACGTATTGAAGATAAGCATACAGATCGTCTCTGGCAAGTCAATCTCACCCTCGCTGGTAATCAAGACGATGATTTTAACAAATTAACAGCACATTTACGCGAAGAACAGAGTTGGGCAACAGGTTGGGCTCGACTTGGTCATATACTTATTAAACTGGGTGAGCCTGCAAAAGCAGAACATCTCTATCAGATACTCCTCGAGAGGGTATCTTCTGATGGAGATCGGGCGAACTGCAATTTACAACTCGGTTCGGTGTATAAAGACATAGGAGAATACTCGAAGGCAAGAACATTTTACGAAAGAGCAATCGATATCTACAAGAAAATGGGCCCTTCGAATCAGCTCGGCTTGGCTGCTTCCTACAACAACATCGGTATGGTGTATAAAAACATGGGCGAGTACTCGAAAGCACTTTCATCGTATGAACGATCACTTGAAATCAAAAAAATAGCTCTCCCTCCGAATCATCCCGACTTAGCTGGTTCCTACGGCAACATCGGTAATGTGTATCATAGCATGGGCGAGTACTCGAAAGCACTTTCATCGCACGAACGATCACTTGAAATCCAAAAAATAGCTCTCCCTCCGAATCATCCCGAGTTGGCTGGTTCCTACCTCAACATCGGTTCGGTGTATCATGACATGAGCGAGTACTCGAAAGCACTTTCATCGTATGAGCGATCACTTGAAATCCAAAAAATAGCTCTCCCTCCGAATCATCCCGACTTGGCTGGTTCCTACAACAACATCGGAGAGGTGTATAGAAACATGGGCGAGTACTCGACAGCACTTTCGTCGTACGAACGATCACTTGAAATCAAAAAAATAGCTCTCCCCCCGAATCATCCCGGCTTTGCTCAATCCTACAACAACATCGGTAATGTATATTATAACATGGGCGAGTACTCGAAAGCACTTTCATCGTACGAACGATCACTTGAAATCCGCAAAATAGCTCTCCCTGCGAATCATCCCGACTTGGCTGCTTCCTACCATAACATGGGCTCGCTATGTGAAAACATGGGAGACTATTCTAAAGCACTTCACTTTCATGAAAGAACACGAGATATTGTCCAGCAAACTCTCCCACCAACGCATCCTCATGTAGTAGAATCGAAAAGAGATGTTGAGCGTGTAAAAAAGAAAATGTAATTTTTTTTGTTCTTTTCAACAGAGAAAATAAATTGCCATTCTTGAACATCAGCCTCGTCAAACGGCGCCAAACGCAAAATTTCGCACACGCGCGACCAGGAATACCCTCCGTATCCTGCTGGGTTGTACAGTGGACAAAGCCGGCAATGATAAGGCAAACATATACTTATGTATGTATGACTAGTACATCCATGATCATCATCTTCGGAAAGACTATGA